GCGCCTTTCTCGACACACGCCCTCTGGGCGCTTTCTCGTTCCATTTTCATGAATTCCATGTGATAGCAGGAGTCGTGGTAGCGTATCCAACCATTTGGGCACCCGATCGCCTTGCGTACTCGCCGAGCCCACTGCGTGTCGTCCTCGTCAACCAATGTACTGTTGTCATCAGTTCCATTTTCATCAACATATGTTTCGTTACTTCGATCATAGGGGTTCTCTGGAAATTAGAAGTTGCATACGGTAAGGGAGCTGGACTGATTCGGAGTTCTCACCTGTGGTTGTACTCGTTGGAGCCGTCGTTGTCGTCTCCGACGTGGCAGACATGCTCGTAGTGGTCGTCTTCGGGAAATCTCCAGCTGTGCTTTTCTGTGTCGTTGAATTCATCCCGTTGGCTCCTCCGCAGCAGCACCTTTTGCGAGCGCTGGTGGATCTGGTTGTTGGACCTTCGCGGTCATATTGTGTTTCCTCTGAAGAGTCAGACTTACAGGCAGTGGTCACAACGGTTGAAAGGCGATTGGGTTCAGATGTGAACATCATTTGTGGACCAGGTCCCTCTTCGCGCTGGAGGTGTGTTTTGGACGCCGCTGGACGTAACGCCCTTCACCAAAGACGTTCGAGAACGCCATCGGAATAGCACCGCCCTCCAGCCATCAAAATCACTCTCTTTCAACCTTCGACAAAAAAAGCAATTTCAGTACAAGCAAAGGAATAACTCGAACCAGGAGCCTTCGTCGTTGTTGTGGCTGTTGAACTTCTCGAACGGGGGAACTTGCGGCATCGACATCTCATTTGGGCTGCATCGCCAACGAAAAGGATTCCGAAAATTGCGAGGACGATGAGCAGGGACCTGAACAATCCTCAATGCATGGTTGTAGTTGGAATGTAATTGTAGACGGTAAAAAGCAATGAATAAGAAACTCACGTCGAACGCATCGCTGCACAGCACTTAATTACTTGGTCAGGTTCCCTTATATAGTGAGGTCATCGGATGCTGAAGGGATCCACCTGGTTGATGAGGTGCGAATATGGCGCAACATTTGGCCTGGGCATTCTTTGGACATCTGTTGGATCGCAGGCACCGTGCCATTGGGATGATCGTCATTGCTGGTAAAATATCACACTTTTTGGACTGTACAAGCGCTTTTCACTGTCTGCAAAAATTAGTGTCACATGTAAACGACGCATTCCGGAAAAAAAAAAACAAAAAAATGAAAAGAAGGAAAACAGGGTTAGGAGGAATTCCAGACAATTTCGCTGTGTGAAAATGGAGAACAAATGCTCAAGTAGTCAAAGTCAATAGGTTCCCCTAAGATGCGCCATACATACGTTGAACTCTCATAGAGTATTCAGAAGGGAATGTGGTCTCTCTTAAGGCAACAGTATAGCGTATGAAGTAAATTGTAAGAGCGAACTTATATGAGATCCTCTCTCTTTTCCTGTGATTCATATACACACCGCAACAGGTAACCATTTGGGTCAGAGGCGCTGGTTTGGCAATCGAAATGGCCCAAAAAAAATTCATTATTTGAACTTTGACAGTAAATTTCCACGAGTTAAAAAGGTTCACCTCAGACTGGAGTTTAGAAGCAAGTCCACGTGAACGCTATCTCACTGCTCTCAAGAAGATAATTATCGGAACTGGTAGCACAAATAGCCCGAAAAGCAAGAGACCCGGGTATAAATCCCTGCTGAGGAGAAAGTTCTACCCACAACTCTGCATTTTGTGATAATTTTAGATGTTTCGCTGAATGATCAAGATGATCAAATAATGTTAGGCCCGTTCCCACTGAATATCGTGGTAGCGAAAGAAAATATTCTGGCTTTAACGGGACGAAAAGTTGACCTCCACAGCAGTACCTCAGAGGCGCCTAGGGAACCACCGACTGGGTCAACTGTCCGTTAGAACTAGTCGAACGGAGAGTCGTATTTGTGATTTCAGTAATGGAGGCGTACTTAGGGTTGAGCGTGCTTATTTATCTCTAGGGAGAGTACAAGAGGAGGGAAAGCGTTGCGGCAGAAGGGTTGCATACCCCACCTTCCGCCAACGGTCGTTTATGGAGAAAAAATATTATTGGAGTTGGAGGGGTCAAAAAATATTATTTGAGTTGGAGGGGTCAACTACTCTAGAATCCGAGTGGGCAAAAAACCATTGCCGATGGGGCGTTACCGCGAAAAAAGTCGTATTGGGAGCGGGGGAGATCGAAAAACCTTTTGGAAAGTGCTAAGGCTGAGGATCTACATAAGCCACGACCCCTCCTGCTCTGATGATGTTTCTCTCACTTCCCTTACTCTGAATAAGAGCTGTGCTGTCGTAAGAGCCTCGTAAATCCACACTTGCCATCCGGGGTGTCATAGTTTTGCGGATTGAGGTCGTCTACATTGTAACAAGACTTCGCGTCGTCCCTAACTCGTTTTCAGCCGGTAAAATATTCTTACCCCTCATAGTTCATTTCGGTTACACCTATGTACTGCGGCTAGGGTTCAAAATAGAAATAGAACCGCATAAATTCAGACAAGATTCGTACCAATTAGCCGATCCCGGAGGGATGGCAGGCTTGATTGGCCTCAGGCACTGAGATCCCATCCAGGGACCATGCACGTTGTAGTGGTAATGTTACCACTGGACCATATCCACGATCACATGTATGAATACCATTAAACAGTCATTCAGATTTATTTATCACATGCAGCAATTTTTCTACAAAGAATGACCCGAATGTGTGACGTGTACAAGCTCTACCTT